ACCCTCCTCACCCTGTGACATTTCAGTGAATAGTCTTTAAGACTTCTTTCTGTGCTAGCGTCCATCCAACTGTGTATTTGTGTGTATATCTCTTAAATGCCTTTATCACTTGATATTAATGGTTGTAAACCTGATTCATGGTGTTTCTGATACACGGTGTTAGAAGCTGCACAGAAGAGTGTGGCAAGCTCTGAACTTGACCATGACACTCAGCCTTTGGTGGGCTGATGACTGCCAACTGGCAGTCCAGAGGGCTTGTTTAAAGCATAACTCTACAGATTCTGCAGGAAACTCTTTCCTCAAGTTGCTTCAGGACACAGGACCTCAGGAGTTTGGCTGAGATTCAAAAGCACTAAATAACTTGTTCTGATCCACAGCTACCAAGTGGCCCATCCAACAGGACACCTCAGGTGAAAGTTGTAGAGGTCAAACCTGATATGTTTCCTCCATATAAGTACAGCTGCACTGTCACACTGGTAAGTGTACAGCCAGGAGATGGGTTGACAGGGAGATGGTTTTGATTTTGTGGTTGAGGGTGAGTAGGAGGCTGAGGGGAGAGGAGGGGGATAGCTGGGAGTGAGAGCAGGGTCAAGCATAGATTGTCAATGCCGAAACATCCCATCCCTGGTACAAAGGATAGCTACTGGGTGAATCTGCTAGGTTGTTTTGATTTTTTTTTCCCCCAGGTGACATTTATAAAGTGTAGGCCAGCTAAGATTAGTATATTTTTATTGATAGTTGTCAGAGATAAAAATTCAGTCCAGATTTAGCATTCAGCAGTCTTTGAACCTTTTAGCCTGTAAAGTGTATTCCACAGATAAGTTTAGGCAGTGTTGCATTTTCCTCACTAAAACAGAGTCACACTTAATATTAGTATCTTCTTTTTTTTTTTCTTGTTTGGGATAGGATCTTACTATATTGCTCAGGTTGGTCTTGAACTCCTGGGCTCAAGTGATCCTCTCGCCTCAGTCTCAGCTGGTATTATAGGTGTGAGCTACCACCCTGGTTAGTTTAGCCTAGCATTCCCTACAAGGGTTTTTGTGCCCCTACCCCTTTATTTTTAATATAACACATATTAACATTCCAGTCAACGAATGTGTGACTTTGAGAATCATCCTTTGCAGGGTAAGGAGCACAGAACAGTGGAATAAATACTAGACAGTGGAAGTCCAGAAGTAGTACTGGCTCTGCTACTAGCATGCCAATATGCCCCTGGGCAAGGCTTTTGCCTTCTCTGGTCTTTAGTTTCACCGTCTATAATATGTTGCATTGGTTTGGATATCTTTGGGGCTTATATCACTTCACATTCTCTAATTCTGTTGATTCTTAAATTATCAATCAGCCAGATGTCTTTTGGCAATTTCTCTGGCTGATTTGATTAAGATGAACAGATTATGAGAGAGCAGCTAGATTTTTAAAAAATTCTCACCTTATAATGGCAGACAGGTTTAGAAAGGGTCATTCATTCATTCAAAAAGTATTTGTGGAGTACCTATCATGTGCCAAGCTCTATGGGGATTCACTAGTGAACAAGATAGCACAGTAGGGTGAGTTAATGCCTAGTCTGGCCTGATCCCTAAGGAGGATGTACCTCTTATCCTGGGGATTTGCTTGGGTTCCTTTTTCCAGTGACCTAATTATAATCAGTACCTTCTCCATGCCCTACATTCTGTCACTCTCCACTCCTTCTGGCTACAGGAGGTCACTAGATTTACCATCTTGTGGGAACTTCCCAGGACCTCTCTTTGGCTGATTAGACAGTAACTTATCATAGGAGCTTAGATGCTTGAGTTTTGACCTTAAATAGTCCAGAAGTCACAGCTTGTCTTTAGGCAGGGCTTGAAATCTTTAGTTCACCCCAATATCTAGTACTCCTTGTTCACATAGACCTGCTTTACTTTGCCAACTGCCTGCACCCTGAAGGTGTTTGAATTCCAGACCCTTGAGAGTCACCTCTCTTGTTTCACAGATATGGAAGGACTGGGTTTGCCAAAATTATACAGCCCGTATTAAATTGAAAAGGGTTAATTGCAGAAAAGGGATTTTGCTTCAAGGCTCTTTATAAGTTAGGCTAAATCTGACTTGGAATTGCCACTCTTTTCTGATTTACTGGCAGCTGTTCATCTTGGTTTTGGACTCTGTATAGGTTTAACTTTTGTACAATTGAATGCTGGTCTTGTTGTTTTAGGATTTGGGCCTGGCTACATCAAGAGGCCGGGGAAAGTGCAAGAATCCCTCTTGTAGCTATGTGTACACCAACCGGCACAAACCTCGGATCTGCCCCAGCTGTGGTTTTAACCTTGCCAAAGACCGAACTGAGAAAACCACCAAGGCTGTTGTGAGTTCCTTCCCCAGACATAACCCCTGGTCTTGGGTTGGGCTCTGTTAGCGAACCTGTTTTAGTAGAAATGAAAGGATTTTTAAATACATGATAGGTAGTCTTAGGTTATTAAGTATGAAATGTCCGATTTCCTTAAGTACTAAGTTTGAAAGTTGATATCTCTGACATTTCACTTTGACACTTGTTTTATTTTTATTGTGGAGGTACATCCTCAGTCTTTCAGACGCATATTTTGGCTTGTGATTATCTTTCAAAATTTTTTTAGAGCAATTTTTGTGGAACCATGGATAAGTAAAAAAATTTGTGTTATTTTTGAATATGAGTTCCATCGTGAAGCCAGTGCAACACAGAAAGCTTGAAATATCCAGCGTTTGGGAAGGATGTGGCTAACGAATGCACAGTGCGTCAGTGGTTTGAGAAGTTCCGTTCTTGAAAATGAGCCACATGCACCACCAGAAACCAAGGTAGATAATGATGAGCTAAAAGCTGTAGTGGAAGCGAGTCCATCTCAACCTATGTGTGAATTAGCAGCAAGATTTGATGTTACTATTCCAACAATTTTGGACCATTTGAAACAAGTCACCAGGAAAGGAAGCTGGATAGCTGGGTTCTACACGAATTAAACAAGTGTCAGCAGAGAAATTATCTTGAAGCTTGCCTTTCTTTGCTGTCACATCATAAAGGCAAAACATTTCTACACCGTATTTTTACATTGTGATGAGAAATGGATTCTTTTTGACAATTGCAAGCATCCAGCACAATGGTTGGATAAAGATGAAGTGCCAAAACACAGTCCGAAACCGAATATTCATCCAAAAAACGCTAATGATATCTGTTTGGTGGCCTAGCGCTGATATTATCCACGACAGTCTCATGAAACCTGGTCGGTGAATTACAGTGGAAGTCTACCGGAGCCAATTGGACAAGATGATGAAGATGCTTGTGATTAAGCGGCTCAGTAGAGACAGGCCAATTCTCTTGAAAGACAACTCTCGACCACATGTCACACAAACAACGCTGCTCAAAGTACAGAGGCTGGACTTGGAAACTCTTTGTCATCCACCGTATTCACCAGACCTTGCACCAACTGACTACCACTTCTTCCACGCTTTGGACCACTTCTTGTAAGGAAAAATATTCAATTCTCAACAAGCCGTGGAAAATGCCTTTTACGATTTTATCACCACTTGTTCTCCAGGCCTCTTCACTGCTGGCATAAACAAGCTACTGTTAAGATGGCAAAACTCTGTCAACAGTTCAGGCACATACTTTGATTACTGCTTCTTGTTTGTGATATAAACTACACTTTTGATTCAAAATTGGACATTTCATATTTAATGACCTAATATTTAGATCATCAGAACTGGAACCAGGCTGTAAGTTCCCAACCTGTGCAACTGCCTTCCTCTCTCTGAGTCTCCTTGTCCCCATTGCCAGGGAGAGGGGATTGACCAGGTACCTTGCTTGATGTCTAAGAACCAAGAGTTCATTCACTGAAGAGAATAGAAGCATAGGCCTTAAATCAGAAGAGAGGGGTGAAAGGGTTGCATGCTCTTAGCTCTGAGGCCTGCCACAGGACCTGTAAGTTGATTTGTTCTTTGGGTAAATAGTTAGAGAATGCTAACCCCAAGACTTTGTGGATTAGATCGCCACTTTTTTCTCAGTTTCCCTGCAAAGCTTTTGGCTAATCACAAAGCTTTCTTTCTAGCAGTCTTGGCAGACCTGCTCTCTGCAGTTGGACCAAGCTACTTAGATAGTAAAATATATTTCATTTGGCTTCTTAGGGCTCTTCTAAAAATTATTATTAGAACCAGGAAAAATGGGCATTTTCAGAGGTCCTCAGAATTTCCACACATGAATATTTTAAAGTGAACAGAAAGTGACAGCATTTGAGGCAGGAAATGAAGAGATAAAATGAGGGTAAGAAGAGAAATGTCACTGATCTGCCTTGTGGGGAGAGCGGGTGGCACACAGAACAGATCAGGATCTGAGATGGACCATGACACTTGACAGATGGGCAGGATTTGGATGGAAGGGGAAGGCATGGCATACTTAAGGACAAGCATGAGCAAAAGTGAAGTGTTCCATTTGGCTGGAGGAGAAGGTGTGGAGGGGGGCCAGTGGTGGTAAGGAAAATAAGACCTGAGAAGCATGTCGGGACCACATCGTGGAAGGTCTTGAATGCCAGGCTGGGCAGTTTGTCCTTGAGTCAGTGGAGTCCCAATATCCTTGAGCCAGGGAGAGGCCTAGAGGAGGGTTATTTCAGGAGGGAGACTTACGGGGGTTTGGGAGTGGACAGGGCTAGAGAGATGGGGAAAACTGCTTCAAGCTCTCTCTTTACATATGAAGAGGGGCCTTTCTAGTGATGAATCTCATCCCTATCTCCAGATCTGTTTCGGTGCTCTAGGTAGTGTTCTGAGGTTGTGGTCCTTGTGAGAAAGTATGTGGCACTGATGGCTTAGTGAAGAAAACACCCGGACTAGGAATTGAGAGATCTGGCTGGAAGTGACCCTGAGTCGGAAGCCTCCCTTCCTGAGCTTTAGTTTTCCCACTGGTAAAAGAAAGCAGGCAAGGTGGATAGATCCGGGCATTTTACTCTCAGAGCCAGGAGCCCTAGAGAATACTAAGAAGTGAGTCATGGAGTCTATAAACCCCCAAAATTGCATGTAAAATGGGCCACAGCTTCCATCAGATTCTCTTGCTCTGCTTCCTGGGTTTTCCACGAGTTCAGCGTGCTCGTCTTTCCTCAGCATTGATCATACCCTATACTGACGGCTTCTCTTAATTTCCTGTGAGACCATAATCTCTTCTACGGCAGGTGTATCTGTTTTCCCCACACCTTCTAATCCTGGAACTTGGCTTGCGGTGTGTGTTGATCTGTAATTATGGGGTGGAATTGACTTTTTTGTCTAGGTAGATGCTCTGAGTTTTCCTTTCTCTTTTCATTTCATTTTAGCTATTTGTGAGGTTTGCAGTAGGGAAATATGGAGCACTTCTTCCATCTAGGATGATGAAGTGACTTAACTTTTTCCATATTAGGTAGGAATTGTTGGAGATCTCTTGCCAATTGATGTTAAATCCCACTCTAATTTATATTCCTCTGTCTTTGGCTAACTGGTAGCTGCCCACTCCCAGGACCGTCATATTCAGACCTTCTCTTGTCATCAGACATTTCCTCACCCTCCAATCTCCTAAAGTTTGGAGAAGTAAAGTGTTAATTGTTTTCCGCAAAACTGATCGCAAACCTAGGAGCCCTTGCATGTATTGCCCTTTGGAGCCCCCTGGTGACCAAACGTTTCCTATGCAGTTTGTATCCAGCTATTGTAATTAAGACCACAACATCTCTGAGCTGGAATAGTCTTCATTCTTTTCTGTCTGTCTTCTCTGGCTCAGAGGCAAAGGATACTGTTCTGCCAAGTGATCTTCTAGCTCATGGTTCAATACAAGTCATGGCTGGGAACACACAGATTCAGGGCAGCTCATTCTAGTGTCAGCTCTTCTGTAGCCATTCATTCATTCATTCTTTCATCTAGCATATAGTGAATGCCTATTATGGGCCAGGCTTTCAGAGATGAGTAGGACAGCCCCTTCCCTTAAGGAACTTACAGTCTAGTGGCGGAGAAAGATAAGTAACTTAACTATTACAAACAAAAGTTGTCACAGGTATGCAGAGTTAATCAAAAGCTCCTTGTTATTAAGTGTCTGTCCATTTTGTGTTGCAGTAAAGTATATCTGAGGCTGGGCAATTTATAAAGAAAAGAGGTTTAAAGAAGATGGCACCAGCATCTGCTTTCTGAGAGGGCCTCAGGCTGCTTCCACTCATGGTGGAAGGTGCAGGGACTCTGTCGTGTGCAGAGATTACGTGGCAAGAGAGGAAGCAAGGGTGGGGGGAGGTCCAGGCTCTTTTTAACAGCCAACTCACAGGAACTAATAGAGTGAGAACTCCCCCACTCCTCAGGGCATTAATCTGTTCATGAGGGAATCTGCCCCATGACCCAAACAACTTGCATTAGGCCCCACCTCCAACACTGGGGACCAAATTTGAACATGAGATTTGGAGGGGACACACATCCAAACTATAGGATTAAGCCATTAACTTGTACAAAGCAGTGTATAATATGTCCAGCAAATATTTGTCAGCATCTTTTGTATGCCCCTGGCCTCAGGCTGGTATTGGGAATGAGTAAATAAGCAGGCACTCTATCCTTACTGAAGAGGGAGGATAGTGGTTTGACAGCTATAAGATAATGAATTCTGCAGTAAAGTTGTGCTCTCGGGGAACACAAAGGAGGGAGCCATTTATGGTACATTGGTGAAAAGGATCAGGGAGGAACCTCCATTGAAAAGAGACCTCCTTGAGAAGGACGTGTTCTTAACAAGTATTTGAGAACATTGTTCCTGGAAGTCTCTGACTGGTGTATACAATTCCCTTGTACCCTGAAGAACTAAAGACAAATATTTAAGCAGTGCAGATAATTATTTATGTATCAAAACTACTATTCATAGAGGAGAGTTCATTGCATCACAAGCATTATGCTAAGTATTTTACTTGCAATATCTCTCTTAATCTCAGTTCTAGGACATTACTTGTATTTTTATGCCTCATTTCACAGATGAGGAAATTGAGACTCAAAAAGATTAAGTAAATTGCCTTAGGTATCCCATGTAGAGTGTTAAGTGGCATATCCAGAACTAAACCCAGGTCTGTTATCCTCCAGATCCCATATGAATGGGAGCTAACTATTGAATCCATTGCCAAGAGGCATATATAATTCTCTCATTTTACTGTCACAGGTTGAGTATCCTTATCTAAAATGCTTGCGATCAGAAGTGTTTGGGATTTTGGTTTTTTTTTCACATTTTGGAGTATCTGCTGAATACATACCAGTTGAGCATCCCTAATCCAAAAAATAAAATCTTTGAAGTGCTCCAATGAATATTTCCCTGGAGTGTCATACTGGTGCTGAGAAAAATCTGGATTTCGGAGCATTGCAGACTTCCAGATTAGGGATGCTCAACCTGTAAAGAACTGAGCCCCAGAGAGAGAGAGCAGCAGCCTTTAGTCTCACAGAGTTATTAGCTGAGTCAGTCAGGAACCCAGGTTTCTTACCTCTCAGTCAGGAGCCCCATCACTCTTCTCCTCACAGACTTTTCATTATTTTAGCCTGAGGCTGACACTTTCTTCCCTGGGTACTTGTTGATCATCCACTCTCTTCCCAGGAGGCAAGCTCACCACTCCCAGATGTGCTGAATGCCACAGAGCCCCTGAGTGTGGCCCAGAAGGAGATCCAGCGCCAGTCCACGCTGCAGCTTCTGCGCAAAGTCTTGCAGATTCCCGAGAATGAGTCAGAGCTGGCCGAGGTCTTTGCCTTGATTCATGAACTCAACAGCTCTCGACTTATCCTGTCCAACGTGAGTGAGGAGACGGTGACCATCGAGCAAACTTCTTGGTCGAATTATTATGAGTCTCCATCCACGCAGTGCCTTCTCTGTAGCAGCCCCTTATTCAAAGGGGGACAAAAGTAAGCACCCCTTAACTATTCCCCTAGCTGTCCCATCCCACTTGGCCCTTTCCTTAGACAACTTTAAAGCTATAACCTGTGAAGATGTTATTCTCTGCTTTTCTTAGGCTTCCTTTACCTCTCCAATTGTAAGTAAAAAGTAAAATAATAATAATCAATAATCATCATTTCTGTTGAAATGTCTGAAAGTTATCACCAGGTTATGATTTAGTTTACATCCAGACTACCTAGCATAATGTTTGGGTTTGGGAGTTCAGTAAGATTGGTTAAATTATGTCATAAATTCAGAGTTATTTGCCTGTTGCATTAAAATCTTGAGAATTTTGCCATTGACCAGTGAGCCCTAGAACTGCATAAAGAAGTTGATTTCCCTTCTGTTTTTTGTTGGTGATGTTTTCGGTACCAGCTCCCTGGCTGGGCCCCAGGAGTGCTGGCTGCTGACAGCAAGCCGGCTGCAGACAGTGACTGCCCAGGTGAAGATGTGTCTGAACCCCCATTGTCTGGCCCTGCACAGCTTCATGGACATCTACACAGGTCAGTGTCAACCTTTTCTTCCCTCAGAGCACCCCAAAGCAGGCTTGAGAATTGCCTCCGTAGGTCAGACCTCTGGTCCTTTGAGCACTGGACTCTCTGAGGAAGAGGGAATCTTCCTGCTGGATGTCCCACCCCAAGAAATGACATTTATCTCTGTGTTAGGACTTTTATCTGGAACCTTTAAAACAAAGTTAATTTTTAAAACTTTTTATTTTATTTATTTATATGTCTGTTTGATTGATTGATTGATAGAGATAGGATCTCGCTCTGTAACCCAGGCTGGATTGCAGTGGCATCATCCCAGCTCACTGCAGCCTCATAGTCCTGGGCTCAAGTGATCCTCCTGTCTTAGCCTCCCAAGCGCTGGGACTACAGGTGTGTGCCACCATTCGTGGCTAATTTTTTTTTTGGTAGAGATGGGATCTCACTATGTTTCCCAGGCTGGTCTTGAACTCCTGGACTCAAGCCATCCTTCCACCTTGGTCTCCCAAAGTGCCGGGATTACAGGCATGAGCCACCATACCTGGGCTATAATTTATTTTAAAATTTACATATATAGTAAATATTACTTTGTTCAGTTCTGTGAGTTCTGACAGATGCACCAAGTTGTATAATTGCCACCACAATCAATATATAGAACAGTTCCGTCACCCCAAAACATTCTCTTGTACTATTCTTTTGTAGTTAAACCCACCCCTCCTGCCTAACAGCTGGTAGCCATTTGATTTCTTCTTTATCCCTATAGTTTTCTCTTTTCCAGAATGTCATGTAAATGCAGTAATAGTATATAACCTCTTAAGTCTGACTTCTTTCAGTAAGCATAATCCTTTGAGATTCATCCATGTTGTTGTGTTTATCATTGGTTTATTCATTTTTATTGTTGAGTAGCTTTTCATTGTGTGGCTGTACTACAGTTTATCGTTTATCTCTTTACCCATTGAAAGATACTTGGTTTGCTACCAGTGTTTGACAGTTGCAAATAGAGCTGCTACAAACATTTGTGTACAGGCTTTTGTGTGAACATGTTTTCATTTCTCTTGGGTAAATACCTAAGAGTCAGATTGCTGGGTTGTGTGGTAAGAGTATGTTTAATTTTATAAGAAATTGCCAAACCACTTACGACAGTGGCTGTACCATTTTGCGAATCTAACAGTGTGTGAGAGTTCCAGTTTTCTCTGCATGCCAGCACTCAGTGTTGTCTGTTTTTCAGCCATTCTAATAGGTGTGTGTAGTGTTATTTCATTGTAATTTTAATTTTTATCTCCCTAGTGACTAATGATGTATGTTTGTATGTATGTATGTATGTTTGTATGTATGTATGTATGATGTATGTATGTTTCTGTATGTCTTCTTTGGTGAAGTATCTGTTCACATCTTTGGTCCGTTGAATTGTGTTGTTTTCTCATTTGAGTTTTGAGATTTCTTTATGTTTTCTTGATACAAGTCCTTCTAAAAGTTTTTAAATCGTATGTCAACACCTATGAAAAGAAGGGAATGTAAAGAAAAGAAAACAAGCACTCGCTTCGGCAGCACATTAACTAAAAATTGGAACAATATAGAGAAGATTAATGTGACTTTTGCACAAGGATAACACCCAAATTCGTGGAGCATTCCATATTTTTCTGCTAAGACCTGAGAGGTTTTTTTGCAGAAATGGGGCAGAAGGACCCTGCTTCAGGGACCTGGGGACTCTGAGGGAGTGGCTTTCTGGTGTTGGGGAAGGGCAGGGTCTTGTTTAATGCTAATAAATGTTCGAGATGTACAGGGAAAAAAAAAAAGAAAAAGTTTTTAAATTTTATGGTTCACATTTAGGTCTGATTTATCTTGAATTAATGTTTGCCAGAAATGTAAATTTTATAATCAGGAATTATAAGTCCTACAACCCTGTTCTTCTTGAATTGTTTTGGCTATTTTAGGACTATTGTGTTTTCATATAAATTTTAGAGTCAGCTTGTCAGTATCTATAAAATCCTGGTAAACTTTTAGCTGGGATTTTGTTGAATCTGTACATCAATTTGGGAAATTTGACATGCTTAAAAATGTTAACTCTTCTGATCCACCATTCTGGTCTTTTTCCATTTTATAAGATTTTCTTTCATTTCTCTCATCAGTTTTTATAGTTTTCAGCATATAGGTCCTACACATATTTTGCTAGATTTATATCTAAGTATTTCATTTTTTCGGTGCTAAATGATTCAATTTCTAACT